TTACATTCAAATAGGTACTAATCCCGGTTGTATTACATTCACTGTACACATTTGCAATTTTAAAAATAAACACAGGAAAAACATAATCACTTCCCTACATGTCATCTCAGATGTACATTACTTAAGGAAATACTAGTATTTTCAAGAAATGATTGACCTTTCCTTTTCATACTGGGGGATGTTAATAATAATCATTTGGACTCTCTAATAATCATTTGGATTTCTTAATTTTATAAAAGAAAAATTACACTTAAGAATTATGTTGAACCTTACAAAGAAAGACTTAAAAAAGAAAAAAAATGAAAAGAAAAAAATTATTTAACTGATTGGACATGTATCTATTGTCAGAATCTGTTATCACATCAGTGTCATGGACTTTATTTTCATTTGAATATGTGCATAAGATAAACATCGACCATGAAAGTAATTTCAATAATTTGTTTGTCCAAATGTTCACAAAACCGTAAGAGTCAGTTTTCTGATAAATTCCAAGTTAGTGGTTTATTTTGTAATCAAAAGCAATTCTGTTTCTCTGAAAATCTAGCTAAATCAGATATAAAGCAAGAGTCAATTACTAACCATAAAGTAGAAAGCCATGAAGCCTTGTACCAGTATTTATTCTTCTAAAGTGCAACCAAAACCTTTTCATATTTTTCAGCAATTCTAGTCTTAAAATATATTCCACCATTACTGAGAGTAAAACTACCGTTAATTCAGGAAATATTATCTAATAGCCAAAAAACTAACATCTATGATTGCTATGAACTCAGTAATCTATATTTTTAAAAGTTCATAGGATATCATAATTAAGCAAATATTATAATTTACTTTAATCCAAAAAAGGGTTCATGTGTTTAGATATTCTATTTTATATTCTGTATGGACAATTCACTATTCATTTACCTTATCTAGCTCAATATGTTCTCCACTCTCCTTAAATCCATGCTACTTTCTCTTAGAAACAAACAAACAACTTCTAAATATGGATAAAACACTATTTAATTCTGTGGGGTTTTTTTTATTTCCATAGTTTCTGATTTTCTATA